TAAAGTCACCCAACTGGCTTTCATGCCTAAGGTGGGACTAGCACTCAGCTGGTTTGTAGCCCAATACAAACCTACTTAGGCAAATGCTATAGTTTCTTATGTGCACCCCAGCCATAGGGGGCTTAGTGCCCAGGTCCGTGATGCCCCTTGTGCACATGGCAGGTTTCTTTCAAATGCTATGGACAAACCATTGACAAAGCAGGATTCAACCTAGAAGCTGTGTCTGAAAATCCAGCGGGTTTGGAGGGGAAGAGATGCTCTCCTGCCACGCTCTGTCAGTTGCCCATGACTTGCCAGTTGCCTTGACCTGTTTCTACTGCTATTGGACAGTTAGGGAAAGGCCAGGCAGGGCAAGGAAGTTGGTGGTCTCTCTCTGTCTCTCTCTTAACTTTGCTGAGCAGGTGGCAGCAAAGGGTTAACATAATACCTTTGGTGTTTGTGGTTGCTAAAATCTTGGAAATGATAGAGATGGGTATCTGATAAAATAAATAATGGCAAGGAATGCATTAATGCATTACAATAAATAATGACAAGGAATGAGATTTCTGTTCTTTAAATGGAAAGAACCTGCATTTTATGTGTGAGACTTTTCAGGCAATGGACTTGCAATTGTGAGAATGGCTTTAAAAATGAAACAGGGGGGGCCCCTGAGATATAAGTTAGAAACCTGGGGGGGTATATATGGGTGCACAGGGACCTACTGTAGGTAGAGCATTAACTTTTTCCTTTGGCTGCTGTGCTGAATTGGCTCACTTCTCCAATATTAACTTAATATTAATTTATCCATTGTTAATTCTGGGAATCATATCAAGTCTAGATGTCTTGTCTACTTACTGAGGATATTTTCTGTGTTCTCCGTAACAAGGGGCCCTTCGGGATCAGGGTCAGGCCTTGGCTCAAGGAAGTACTCGGAAGCCACACAGCTGCCTTTTTTCTGACCTAGAAAGAGAGACGACGCATAAAAATTCAGACAGCAAAAGTGGCCCAGATTGGACAGTGTTTCTGAACCTCAGCAAGTTTAAGAAGTGTGGACTTCTACTCCCATAATACCCCAGCCAGCACAGCTGGGGATTCCCAGGAGAATTCTGGGTATTGAAGTCCATACCTCTTAGTTGCTGAGGTTCAGAAACACTGATATAGGACCCTCAGGGAAGATATGGTGCCTTTGTAGAAGGAAGTCCCAAATCTACCATGTTTCTCCTAAAATAAGACCCGGTGTTATTGTTTTCCTTCCAAAAGAGGCATTAGGTCTTATTTTCAGGGGATGTCTTTTCCACTGTCTCACCTCATGGTGGCACTGACAGCCCTGCCCACCAGGAGCCCACGTGGTCTCTGCCAGCCCCTTCTTCTGCAGCCACTTGCCGGGAAACACCCCACTGGCTCTGGATTGATGTGTGTGGCACCCCCGACCTCCATTTCACTGTCAGAGGCCTTTCCTGAAGACCTCTGATTGGTGAAACGGAGGCTGGGGGGCACCACATGTGAGTGGCAGCAAGAAGCCGCAGAAGTGGGCCAGCAAGGTGAGGCAGGTGTTGGGATGTGAGAGGCATGGTTGCAACTGTCCTAAGGAAAGCAGATGCAGGCACATGAGGCAACTCCAACTCTCCATCCCCACTCTAGCTTGATTTTTACCTGTGCCTCGCCCCACCTTGTGTAACCAGGTGCAATGGAGTGGGCAGGGATTTAACTAGGAATTATTTTGGGGGGTTGGGCTTGTATTGGGTCCATGTGTAAAAATCAAGCTAGGTCTTATTTTGGGGGGAAACACGTTATGTAGTCACATACATTTCCATTCAAACAAGCCACTTCTGTAAGATAAGGCAGTTCAAAGCTAGTACCAAGCAGGATGCCTCTGACCATTTCCAAAGCCCCAAGCTAGACTAGAAAGAAGGCAGTCAGCTTTTGTTCTGCTGTCCAGAACATAAAACGGTTATGGTCCTACAGCCCCAAGAACCATCCTGGAGGAGATGTAATTCTTTTCTTTTACTATTTCATCTTGGGATAAAAATTAACCAATGGCCCCAATATGTGCACCTCTATGGATAGGAGAGCAGTAAAGGAGGTAGTCAGAGACAAGCGGGGATCCTTTTTAGTGAGTGCCATGAAAGACCAGATCCTCAGATCCTCTTGTGAAAGTCCAGTTGAACTGATTTATTGCAAATTATGTCTACACACAAGAATCTTCTCAACTAACAGTTAATATCTGTTTGGGTTAGGGCCAATAATTCAAGGAAGGTTGGGCTTTGTTCACTTATAGCAATAGCACTTAGACTTATGTACTGCTTCACAGTTGCTTTTACAGCCCTCTCTAGGTGGTTTACAGAATCGGCATCTTGCCCCCAACAATCATTTTACCCACCTCAGAAGGATGGAAGGCTGAGTCAACCTTGAGCCTGGGAATATTTGAACTGCCAAATTGCAGGCAGCCGGCAGGCAGCAGAAGTAGCCTGCAGTACTGCCCTCTAACCACTGTGCCACCACAGCTCACTTTTGTTACGTAGGGGTTCTAGACTGGTCTCTCTTTTAACTCCTCCCCCAGGTTCTGCCACTCCTTGTCCTTCCTGGCAGCTGATTCAGCCAGTTAACCCTCCCGTTCTACCAGCATGCAACAGGAAAGGCCACTAGGAAGGGCCCTGAGTCAAGGAACAAGTAGCCAAAATCCCACATTCCAAAGGAGCATCAGCTACCGTGTTTCTCATATAATAAGGCCGGGTCTTATTTTTTTTTGAGCCCCGAAAAAATGGCTAGGCCGTCTTTTTGGGGGGTGACTTAATTTCCCCCCCCCTTGCATCTTCGGGCGGGTGGGCGGCAATGGCTTGGATGTTGACCTCAGCGTTGGTGGGGCACTTCGTATTGGGGTCAACACAGGCAGCACCATATCCAGGTGTGCAACAAAAGTACTTCCTAACGGCAAGCCCCCCCGCCATTCCCCCCCCATTTCGCATGTTTTAATATAGGCCTTAATTTGGGAGGAGGGGCTTAATTTCATTTCATGCCTATAAAACATGCTGGGACTTCCTATTGGGGGAGGCCGTATTGTTGGAGAAACAGGGTATGACTATGCACTGCTCTGTTCATGAAATCTTATAGTTCAGATGTTGAACCAGCACTGGAGATTCAAGTTCTACTTCCAACCGTGAGAAAGTTCAATGGGTGACCTTGGGCAACTCATTCTTCCATCACCATCTCATAGGGATATTGTTGTGGAGAAAAAGATGAGGAGAAACTAAAGGGCACAGACTTTTGAGCTCCAGGATAACACTCTAACAAGGAAATTAAGACATGTCTCTTATGTGCACCTGTTTATTGCACTACCTTAGATGTAATAAAGATATATTGTCACTACCAATAACATTGATTGATTGATTGATTATATGCCATCAAATTGTTTTAAATTACTGGGTGTGGATGTGTGCATGTATGCATGTCTACACACACACACATACACACACACACACACTAAAGCTCTCATTCCTGTAACCTTTAACTGAGCAAAACACTGCCTCGTAGGGCAACAATTTTTGAACTGAGGTACTTCAGACGGGATAGCTTTACAGAACGTGTCCAAAATCTGGGGCCCAGGACTCCCATGCAAATGAAATTTGGCAGATTTTATAAAACATTTTATGACACAAAAAATAATCATAAAACAGTTTATGGTGCAACACAAAATGTCACAAAACATTTCCTGTGGTGATGTTTTTGATTGTACTATGTACAGTTCAACCTGGTCTGTTTTCAAGACAGACGCACCTCTGAATGCATTTCCTTAATGAAGGCAGCGCCTTAGGAATTCTCTCACTGTTAAAAACTCTGAAGAATCTGGTGAAGAAATGCTTCTGAAAGGATGGCCCAATGGGTCACAGAGTTCCTAGTATAGGTAGTCCTCAATTTACGACCCACCACAACTAAGCCCAAAATTTCCATTGCTGAGCAAGGCAGTTGTTAAGCGAGTTTTGTCCCATTTTATGACCTCTTTTTGCCACAATTGTTAAGCAAATCTCTGCAATTGTTAAGAGAATCAGGCAGCCATTAAGTGAATTTGGCTTCCCCCCCACTGACTGTTTGTTGGAAGCTGTCTGGGAAGGTTAGAAATGGTGACGATGTAACCACGGGGCCTTGCAACTATCATAATACATGCCAGTTGCCAAGCAGTCAAATTTTGATGATGGGCTGCAATGGTTGCAAAGTGTGAAAACTGGTCATAAGTCCCCTTTTTTTTCAGCGCTTCAGTGGTTGTAAGTCAAGGACTATCTCTATGCATGTTATTTTATGTATCTAAGTCAATGTTTCTCGGTCTCAGCTATGTTATATGTGTGGACTTCAACTGTCAGAATTTTTTAGCCAGTTGGCTGGGGAGTTCTGGGATATCACACGTCTTAAAGTTGCTGAGATTGAGAGACGCTAATTTAAATGTATTTTTTGGACAGTCTGCAGCTTTCACCAGACCGTCAAAGGGATCCATGACACAAAAAGGATAAAAATCCTTGGCTTAGAGGCAGGAATACAGGGTGATATCCTTGCATAGGAAGGACAAGATAGTTAAATGTGCATGGGTGAATAGTTCAGTTGCATAATTTAAACAAATGCAGTATTTGTAAATGCTGCATTTGCAATATTTCTAGCATTATTCAATGAAAAGAAGACAAGTAGACCTTTTATTCCAAGACCCTTAATGAATTCTCCTTTTTTGGAAATAATATACCCCTAAGTCAACTCTGCCCTGCCTCCCCCGCCTGATGAGCTTAGCTTGGAATTCAGAGCCAACTTTTAAAGCCAAATCTAGATGAATGACAGCTCTCTGAAGAAGTTTGTCAAGAGCTGAGCTGCAGACCACTCCAGACCTTCTGGGAAGAACCCCATTTCTTGCGTTTCCACCTTGCCCAGTGATTTCAACTTTGCATGTAGTCAACCAGAATTAAGTTGACTAGAATTTACACAAATATGAATTTTGCCCTTCACACAAGGCATTGTTTTGCTACTCTAGCTATCAAATGTTGATCTGTTGTGAAATTACCAGCTAGGCTAGAAAGAAGGGTCAAGCAAGAGCCTAGCTTGGAGTCTTTCTACAGCTGCAAGCAGCATAAGCTAGTCCTCCCTCAAGATCCATGAAGCCTAATCTGGTTGTTCTCAAGACAAGCTGATTAGTGAGATGCTTACAACATAGGTGGCAGAAGATTATAGAGGAATTTAGGAAATGAGGAAGCTTGACTCCGGTTTAGTCCTGAGGTCCTAAGATCGAGATACTGAGATTGGTCCTAAGAGGCATAAATGAAAGCAGCATGGGAGGAGAGTCCTCAGGCCCTTACCTGCAAAGAAGCAAACCCTCCAGAGGCCAGCATGGAGTGCCATGACTATTTCCGTGGTCTGGTTTTGCGGAAATACAATCCCTTCCTCCATGAACAGCCAATAGTCAGTACTGACAGCAATGCCCACCAGGAGCAGCCCGCACGCTCCAAAAACACTAGACAGCAGGGTCAGGGCGCGACTGCTGCAGTTACTCATCCTAGGTAACCGAGAGAGCGACTGGCCAAATGAGCGCAAGGACCTGGAAAGAGAAATAAACTCCAATCAATCCAAAACTCCTGGGGGGTACTAAAACCGAAGCAAACAGGCAACGAACAGAATAACAAGAGTTGGAAGGACCTTGGAGGACTCTTGTCCAACCTCCTACTTAAGCAGGAGACCCTATGGCATTTCAGACAAATTCAGACAAAAACCCTTGTGATTTTTACCAGAACATTTGTTGCCTGTTTTTGAATCAAATGTGTTGGTTCCCAGAGACCTCCAGAACTGCTGGTTCTCAAATGCTTTTATGCTGTCTTGGATCATTTGAGCATGCAGGGCGACCAAATTCATTAAAAAAAATTTCCCCAGGCCCCAAAGGAGCCTGATACTGAAATTCTGAAAGGATCTTCACATTTTTCCGACTTGGAAAGGTTGAATATTTTTGACCATGAAATCCAGGGGAGTGGTAAAGTTTCCTTTTGTAATATGTATTAGAGCAGGTTTCCCCAAAGAAGGGAAGCCTTGATGAACCAGGATTACAAGTCCCATAACTTCTAGCCCGTCAGGATTTGTATTTATCAATACAGGGTGTAAAAATCGTATGCCAGCATTTGGCAAGAAAATACTTGGAATGGCTCCATGTGGTTTGAAATCTCTTCTTAGGAACCCGGATTTCTGCCTCTGGTTTCTTATTGTTCTCATGTGCCAGGAATTTTAGATTCTAGTCTTGCACATTAAAGTGACAATTTCCTCCCATACCAATAAAACAGAGGAATTATGATTGCTTGTATTTAGCCTAACCAATTTTCTGACATTATGCAAGTGTCACACAGGAGTCATTTTCCAACAGAAGATTTCTTCTTTTTTAAAGAGTAATCTGATATCTACCAAGCTTTGCTATTTAGCCCATGGCTGGCTCTAAATTTGGCAAAGTGTTTATGGATGAGGCTTCACAACTTTGGCTGGTCATGATAGTTGCAGTGGTACTGACAACCATGCTGCACTGAATAACATCAGGCAACTAGATCTGAGAACACTATTTTCTGATTTCTTAAAATGTTTTTAACTGCTGTTTAGGTGAGAGCCATTGTGGGAAAACTAAATGTGATTGCTGGATTCAATAGCTGGATGTTGACTAGAATATCTCTTACAGATATAAAAAATAGCATTTTACCAGTATGCAACATTGTGATAATAATTTTGTCGCACTATCTTTGAAAAATGTTGTCTGTCTGTCTGTCTGTCTGTCTGTCTGTCTGTCTGTCTATCTATCTATCTATCTATCTATCTATCTATCTATCTATCTATCTATCTTGTATATCACCCATCTTGTCAGAGGAGATTCTCTTAAACAAATCTCTCTCCCAAAAGATAGGAGTCTTGTTGGACCCTATGTAGAAAACACATTCCTCAAAGGATTGTAAATAGTGGTAAAATGATATATATGGAGAAGACCCTAGATTTCTTATAGTTTTTCTGAATATACAGTATGTTCAAGTACAGGATATATCATTTTAGTCTTTTATTAACATAAACACTGCAGGACCATTTTAGTTCATTTTTGTTCCAGCCAATAAAATAATCAATTCCTGTATAGCTGATATTGACCAATCCAAAGATAAGCCATGTTCCTGAATCCAACAGTGTGCAATACAGCAGAAAGGATCTGAACTGTGAACTACCATATGTTGTCCTTGCAGTTTAGCTCCTGGGCAAGCTTGAACAACAAAACCTCCTGAAAACCTTCTAAGAACACAGATGGTAAAGGTGAAGAGAACACAGTATAGTTTTCATTTTTTTATCAAGGTTTTCACCCCTTAAGGAGGATATTAAAGACCAGAATTTGAGAGCAGTGTTTGATTAGTGTGTGGGAAGACAGGTTTCACACTCTATTATAAAAATATTTTTGCAGAGGGTTGGTGGACCAGGACAAGCAACAGAGTTTGATGTAACTTGGCACAATCTGCTGAAATTTAGTCCAATAAGAGGATAATCTGCCAAGCTCAACCTTCCACTGTTTCTGCTCTTGTTCCTTGACTTACTTACTTTCTCCAGAAATGTGAGCCATGACAAGAGTGAGTAAAAGGAACTTTTTTCCACTTAGCCTCCTTCTAAAGGTGGAAAGAAACCACCAAGGAGAACCTGCCCAATTTCCTCTTCCCAAACTTTCAGCTGATGCTTGTCAGGCAAAGATTAGGACCATAAATTATGTTGCAATTCAAAAAGAGTTTCCTGCTCAAGCCTATACACAAGAATCTAATTAACTGAAGTTTAATTCTATATTGGTACCAAATAAGGGTCAATGGAATTCAAGAGGAGTTGAACTTGGACCATTTATGACAACTTATTGATTCTAAACTGATGACGTGCTTAGCTCTGCCCCCCAGCTCTGCTTGCTCTTCTCCTATACACTGGAATTATTAGGGAAGAGTGTTTGTTAACAGTTCGATACAGAATTTCTGCCAAAGATCTATCTGGTGATTTGAAGATAATAGGCGAATACCACGTTTTTTCTTTCTACTCAAGATCATGTCATAAGATGCACTTCTTTGGATCTGCATTACTGCATTTCATGCTTCATATTCAGAGAGTAGAAACACCACACATGCTTAGTTTCCCTTGAGATATTATGCGTCTGCAACCTGACAGGAACAACTTGTGTTCCAGACATAAAATATTGATTCTAGATTTCCTTCAACTATCCCGGTTTTCATCTGCCACATTTTTAACATGCTTCTTTCTCCTCTCATAGCATCCGACAAGAATTTCAAAAAACAGGATTTCTATTTCTCTTATAAATATTTTATAGTTTTAGCTATATAAAAATGCTTTTAAGAAGTTTAATCTCTTTGGTTTATTTCTCTTTGTAGAAGGTGGAGACACAGAAAAGTTATTTTCATGGAACATTCTTACCCATGATTAACTGAATCGTGATTTTCTGGATTGGGCCAAATCTGGGATTGGATGGTATTCTGGATTTTGTTTACAGAAGATGGAAATTTAAGATCTTGCCGACTATTTTTGTGGTTCAATGTGCCATATGAAAACAGTCAACATATAAGTGCCACATATTCTCAGGCCCCTGAGAGTGCAGGGTTTCCCAACCTTGGCAATATGAAGATGGGTGGACTTCAACTCCCAGAATTCCCCCGCCAGCATAACTGCACCAATCTCCTTCAGTGATGTGGACCAGGTTCCGCGCCCCGTTTTCCTCAGTACCTGCTTATTGGTTATCCACAAATATTACCAAGCTTTAATTTTTTTTTCTAGCACAAACTTATAATTCTCCTCAGGATGTAATTTTGCACTTTCACATCTAATATCATCCCCACTTGCAATGCAGTTTTCAGGAACTTTTTCCTAGCTTGTATCTACTGGGGTTTCTAAGTACCGTATGTTTTTCTTTGGCCATATTTGTGCCATGGAGATAACCACCACTCCTCCCCAGGATATAATTATCTGTTATCATATGTGTACCTAAGATAGAAAAGTAGCATTTGGGCTGGATAGAAGATAGAGGACCAGGGGAGAATGGCAAAGAATCCAGGCACAAACTGAGTTGCAGCCCCCTTGAAGGGACTCGAGGATGAACCTTGTCTGTACAATGGCCCTACTGCTTTCTTATACATTGTTGATAATTCCTGGCAGTGTAGTGTTATCCCAGCTGCTAGCTGAGAAACTTCATCTGATGTCTCCCATCTGCAATGGGTTTATTTTGGTTACAGAAGGTGACACAATACCCAAACCATCCTACACAAACCCTGTTCCAAATCAGCACATACACGCACACGCATATAACACAATCAGGCACATAACTCTATGTGTGCGTGCGTGGAGCAGTATATGTGTGAAGAAAGAGGGGGATTATATCAGCTACTGAGAAAAGGGATGTCTATGTTTATAGCCAGAGACCAAGGTATGGATTAACAGACAATTAAGTTCATACACACACACATACACACACATACTTCAATGCAGAGGGATGTTTAAAGAGATGGATGATACTTGGGAAGATAGCTTTTTCATTATTTTACAAGTAGGTTACAAGTAAACCAAGGAAATCAAGAATAGGCATCTCTTAAGATTACTGTCTCTTTACTTGTAAAGAGACAGTAATCTTAAGAGATGCCTATTCTTGATTTCCTGTTTTGCCCATTGCCATTCCTGGATAACTAGATGATTGTAGTGGAAGACTAAAAGGTAAATATTTAAGAGAATATTGGGCACTTTAGAAAATATCTGGAAATACAATGAATTAGTCATACAGATAGTCCTAACTTACAACAGTTCATTTAATGAATATTCAAAATTACAACAGCACTGAAAAAAGGGACTTATGACCATTTATCACACTTATGACAGGTGCAGTATCCCCCATGGCCACGTGATCAAAATTCAGATACTTGGCAACTGATTCATATTTAGGACAATTGCGATGTCCCAGGATGATCACTTTTTGTGACCTAAGCAAAGTCATTATGGAAGCCAGATTCAATTAACATTCGTGTTACTAACTTAACAACTTTGGTGGTTCACCTAACTGTGGCAAGAAATGTTGTAAAATGGGGCAAAATTCATTTAACACCTGTCTTGATTAGCAACATAAATTTTGGGCTCAATTGTAGTCATAAGTTGAGGACTACCTGTGTTGCGATACCTGTATTGTGGCAACTGTGAGACCGAAAAAGATGGCTTCAGCCAGGTTCACTTCAGAGTTGACAGTTGACAGAGTTGACAGTGTTACTTACTGTTAGGGTTTTTAATAATTACCTACCTGTCTGTTAACCTGTCTTCTCTTACAATTTGTTGTGTGCAGTTTACTATTTTCTATGTGCAAGATAGGACAGATTAAACATTTAAGACGCAAAACATACCCAAAAATGCACTTGTCTTTCACCCATATACCAGTCCTTGTGATTAAATATTACATACATATGGTTTGTGCATGATGTTAATTACCCATGATCTATTTCTCCATGATTTGTCACATACTGTGCTTGACAGAATTCACCCAGCAGACTAAGCAAAACATATGCACAAGATCTATTGACACAAAAGGCAAAAAAAACCAAAAACCTAGCACATGGAAATGGACTGGGAACTATGCCACCTTCCATTGGACATTCATCACTACTGTAAATGTTGGCCTACAAAAACGTGTTTTTTTTCACACACTACACCCAGCGGGATATGTTAGCACAATTAAATACACATTCTGAATGGCAAGCCATATACTTGCAAAATTCTGGTATCCATATGCAAGAAACATTGATCCTGTGCTCAAGTAACCACTTTAGAACTACGTTTGCCCACAGTTCTGTTAGACCTCTCCAACTGGATACTTCCCAGATTTGTTCATCTCTCATTGGTCCAACCAGCAAGGTTGCAGGACATCAGATTGGGGAAGGGGACTTCATATTGGAGGGACTGCTACCAAGAAGAAGGGGCAACCTATTTTCCAAAATACTTGAAAGCAGGACAAGAAGCAATGGATGGGAAACTAACCAAGGAGAGAAGCAGCCTAGAACTAAGGAGAAATTTCCTCTAGTGGGAATAATTAATCACAATGGCTCACCTTCAGAAGTTATGGGTGCTCCATTCCTGGAAGTTTTTAAGAAGAGACTGGGCAACCATTTGTCTGATATGGCATAGGGTTTCCTACCTGAGTTGGACTAAAAGACTTCCAACTCTGTCATTCTGTTATATATTTTGAAAGAATGTGAGACTTTAGTGCCTTTGACTATTACCTTTCCAGAGCAAAAAAAATATCAAGATGTTATTTCAATCAGTGAAAATAATATGGCAGTTAGGCCAAATGATCTGCTTGGCATGGACCAAGCCATTTGTCTTTAGTGAGGGCAGCCATCTTTGCCAGCCTCACTTTTGGTTTTCAACAGCAGCAGAATCCACAAAAATGTAACAAGTGAAATCCCTCCTTTTTTAATAGAGGGAAAAACTAAGCTAAGTGAAGCCAAGTGATGCTTTTCAGAGGTTTTGAGCTACAACCTCCCTCGTTATCAAACAATGCTGGATAGGGCTAAATAAAATAAATAAAGACTTTGAAGTTGGGAAACACTTTTTTTTTTTTAAGGAGAAAGAATTTCAAATCTGCATCCAGTCACTAATGTCGCTGGATAACTCAGCCTTACCCTGCTGAGGTGAATACCGGTATATTGTGCTGAGCCCCTTGTTTGTGTGATATAATCAGAATACAATTAATGTAAGCTTGTTTCACAGATCTGTTTTTAGAATAAAAGGGAACATACCTAGCCTAACCCATCTGTTCTCTCCCAAGCTTTGAGAAGATGGGTTGTATCTGTAACACACTAGATGTGCAGGATACGTCTCAGGGATGTTAAGGGACCCCAAATGAATTTTTACAGGACTAATTATTTTTTGGGTTGTTGTTTTACTTCTCTATAAAGAAATGGCATGTGGAAGTAGAAAATCCAATTTCCATTTTACCCGTTGATTTCCAAACTCAAAATGATAAGCTCCACGTACAAGAAAGCATAAATGCCATTTTGGACTTCAAATCCCAGAATTCCCTAGCCAGCATATCGGCTGGGGAATTCTGGGAGTTGAAGCCCATTTGTCTTAAAGTCACCAGGTTTGAGAAATACTGATTTAAGTCTCCCCTTTCGCCCTAAAGAACACCTGTTTGTTCACCAGCTTGGTTTATTTATGCCTTGACATCAGATGGGTCAGATAGGTAGAGCTGAGAATCCCCAAATTAGCAAATAAGCCTTGGGGGAGTATGGGGGTGTCTAAGTATTGTGCCTGATAAAGCCTTCCTCACCTTAACAATCTTCAAATATGTCAGACTACAGGTGGAATTTTTATATTTAAATATACTGCTTCCCACTCAGAGCAAGGTATAATATTTAAGTTGAGTGTCTCTGTAAACGTTCTACAATAAATGAACAGCAAATAAATTTCAATCTTCCTACAGAAACCATTTCAGCCTATCCAAGAAGCTCAGTGAATTAGAGTCTTCTTTGTTTAAGACCAGCAGTCTAGCCACTATGCCCTACTACCTCCCCCACAACCCGCTCAGCACCAAGGGAGGCATAATAACATTTCCTCCATCATCCCTTTCACTGCCCGATGCTCCAACTCGCAGCATACTACTATTATTGTAGGAATGATGCTGTGCCTGACACAGATTCACAAAGGTAGTAAAATTAGCTCTCAGCCAGCCTGCCTCCTATTTGGCTCTTGTGTGCTATGCCAGTCTGGTACTGATCTCCATCCCATCCCACCACCAGGAGCTTCTCCTTCCACCCATGGCTACATCAGCTTCACCTATCCAGAAGCCCATAGCCATATCACCTCTAGGATTACCTGAGGGAGTCCTGGTCTTCTTTTGTGTAAAAGCACCCAGTCTCTAACCCCCAACTAAGCACCAGGTAGTACGTTACCATTCAGAAAATTGATGTTCCTCTGCTAGTGGGGAGAACCTCCCCCATAACCCCACCAAGGCAGAAGGACAGAAAATTCACATGGATGCCTGTCTTGAAGGAAACTTCCCTATAAAAGACATTCTTCTGAAGAAGGCAGTCAGCCAAGGAGGAGTGGGAAATATGCTAAGCTTAAATTCATCAGCATATCCAGGACAGGGGGCGCGCGCGCACACACACACACACACGCGCACACGCACACACAAAGATCACCCTTGTTCACTGTATAATGTGGGGATCAGCCTCGATAAATCATACGTGCCTGTAAAAGAATATTAATAGGGGGCAGTGGAGGGGTGGGGTTTACCATAACCCCAGTGTTTGAAAAGATATGTGTAATGTGCGAAGACAAGGAAAATAGGAGTTAAGAAAAATCATTGCAAAAATATCAGGGCATCAGGAAGAAAGACGTACAATACCCTCTGCGAAATTATTCTGATAGGCAGATTAATGCTTGGAAAAAATTGAGGGGAAAACCTTCTCTATCAGTTTCTTAGTCACATGCATACACACACACACACACTCAGACACACACAGCATAATAGTGCAAGCACCCCCAATCTTGTATTCTTCAAATGTGTTTGGACTACAACTTCCAATATTCCTGATGATCAGCCTCCATGATTGGAATGATGATCATGGCAGCCCAACCAATATATCTGGAGGCTGGAGAAGGCTGCCCTGATGTATCATCCAGAGAAAGGTGTTAAAGGTTCTTGCATCCTCCCTTAGCCTGTCCTACTAAACCTGCACGACACACTAACACAACCTCAGAAGCAGGCTAAGCAGAAAACACTACAAGAAACCAGTCTCATGTTCTGTCTGAAATCACAGATTGCCTGCCTGCCTATCAGTGAGGAGCTAAAGAAATCTATGTATGACACCAATTCTCTCCCCTGTCCTAATACACACACACACACACACACACACACACACACACACACACACACACACCCCTAGTGTTGCTATGCTCTTGTAGCATAGCAGATACATCCTATCATTCTGGCCCTAGAACACCACAATAGAAGTATGACTCTCAGACAAAAAATCTCATGCTCCTGACACATTGATTATCTTTCTTGCCAAGATGGGGAAAACAATAAAGGTATTTACAGCAGCATCAGCATCAAGTTGATGACAATTGGTCCAAACATGGTTAAAAAAAAACAAAACAATAAAAATTTGCACTTGTCCCAAGAAGGCAATACGCGTGTAGTGGCAAAGAAAGTTGCCACCTGCAGTATCCCACAATCTTAGACTGGTGATTATTATTCCAATAATTACCTGCCTTGTACTTCAGCACCCACTACCCAAAAGCAGACTTAAGACAACTCTGTAAGCATATAGCATTCAGCCACACACTTGCTATCAAGAAGGAATTAAAAGGTGCAGATTTTTCAAGTTGAAGCCAATTCCTTTAAAAAAAACAAAACCCCAAGGATTCAAGACCCCAACCATTACACACCTGCCACATACCTAGGTAGTCCACAACCACCATTGCACTGTTTAGTGTGAGAAAGGCCACAAACTGGTAAAGCAGCCGAAGTTGTACAAAGTAGCAGTCACATCTGGACGAATCAGCCCCAAAGGATGAAATAAACAAGGGGATTCTTTCCTAAAATCAGCAAGGGCTGTGGGGTGGAGATAATGGGTTGCCGATGGCCCCAGTTTTTCCAGTATATACGGAACTCTGGTCTCTGTAGTTCTGCCTGGCATGCTGGTTTATGGAATGACACCGGGCAGGCTGCATAGTTCCAAGGCATGAATGCAGAGGGGCACGCACGCACTTCCCCCTCCCCCCGCCCCAGAACCAGCAGGGCCCGGGGGAAGCCAGCTCAGGGAAGGCAGGCAGTGATTCTCAAGTAATAGGCTTGGCCGACCATGGCAGGGATCGGCCGGAAGGGCAGCCGCTCGTCTCACCTTGCGGTTAGAACGCCGCGGGGGCTCCGGATTCCTTGCTCGCCTTCCCCCGCACCTGCATCGCTCCCCTGCTTGTTACTTCGCCTTGTTTTGCGCTCCGACGTCGGCGGCGACCGGGGAGGGGAGCAGGTTTGGGGAAAACCGCCTTTTCCCCCTTTTCTGAGAGGGGAGGCGAAATGGGGGACCCCCGGCTTCAAGGGCCGGCCCTCTGCAAGCCTAAAGGCCAGGGGTCTATTGCTGGACGCCCCATCCAGAAGTTTGCTTCATTCCAAAGTGAGGAAGAAGAAAGAGTGTATGAACGTGTGTGTGTGTGTGTGTTGTGGGGGGGGGGGAGAGAGAAGGAGAGGACGGGTGCAGCGTTTCGAAAGGGGCGACGGAATAGAAAAAGGAAACGCTGCAGCAGTGGACAAGCGGGTGGTAAATCTCGATTGGGGAGCTGGAGAGAAGGAGGGAGGGAGAAGGAGGGTGGAAGGAAGGAAGGAAGGAATGCAGCAGCGGGCAGGGAGGGGGGCAATGACAGAAGGGGGGGAAAGCAGTGAAAGAAGGCAGGCAGCGGCTAGGAAGAGGCGGCGGTGGGTAGAGAAGGGGGACGGCTGCAGCAGCAACGGCGGCAGCGGCAGACGAAAGGCTGGACGCCGAAGAGGGGACCGCTGGAGGACGAGAAAGGGGGGGTGCGAGGCAGGAGAGTGGAAAGAAAGAGGGAGGGAAGAGAATGAATGCAGCGGGAGGAGGGGGCTAGGGGAGCAGCCGGGAAAGCCGCCTCAGCGGACGGAGGGGAGCGACAAAAGCCGGCGCCGAGCAAGCAAGGTTGTCGGCAGGCGTGAAGCACCAGAGAGGGCGAGGAAGGGGACGATCGCAGATGGTCCAAAGGGAGGCCAAAGCGACGCAATTGCTAGGGGAAGGAGAGGGAGAGCGAAACGTAAGAGGAAGAGGAGAAGGCTGGGCGGAAAACCGGAGAGAAAACCCAACAAGCCTCCAAAAAAATCGCAGCAGGGGAGAGAGGGGGGGAAACAGCCGTCTAGGGAAACCACGCGCGCGCGCGCAGAGAGAGAGAGAGAGAGAGAGAGAGAGAGAGACGCAAAGAAAGACAAAAAGATCAGAGGATGGAAATGCCCAGGCCTCTACGAGCCACAGAGCTCCCCGTTTCTTGACAGCATCCCGCCGACGGATGGCGAGGGAGAAAGAAGGCTCGGCTCTTCTCAGCCAGTGGCCGTAGCGGTGAGCGAGAGGGAGCTGAGCCGCAGCGGGGAGGGACAGGAAGGCAGTTGCCGCCGCCGCTACCGAGCTTGTCCTGGGGGCTTCGATCGGGCACTGGTGCCGCAGTCGGCTGCCGAGAGGCGGCTGGGCTGTCTGTGAGTCGGTTCCCCCGCTTTTTCGCGCACACGTACACACACACACACACACACACACGGGCGCGCGCGCGCGTGCTCACAGACCAACACACATACACACACAGACCCACACACCCAGGAGGGAAAGCACTGGGCGCCCCCGCTGCCAGATCCCGCTGGATCACGGGATCCGCTTGGCTGGGAACTGACGAGGGGCGAGAGGAGAATTCACAATCACCCCCAGCTCAGCAGCACCCAGCCTGGCTCACTGCAGCTGGCCGTGATGTCAGAGGTACCACTCTTAAAGGGACCGACAGACCGGCTGGCCCTCGCAGTTTTGCCCGCTCAGCCGGTGTCTGACTCGGTGTGCGTGTGTATGCGCGTGAGCGCGCGGAATTGGGGGCGCGCGTGTTGATATGCGAGTGGCGTTTGGAAAGGATCTAAAACGAGAAGGGTACGCAGGACGACAGAGCGTCGTGGTGAAGGGAGAGAGAGGAGGTCCCAAACTGAGAGAATCTCACCGGATTTTGCCCATTGACTCACGCTCGTTTAATGGATGCGACTGCTCAGCTGGATCGTTCAAGAACTACTGCTGTGAAAATGTAAACGTCCGGGGATTCTGATTTGTGTATATTATATAGATTTCGTGCCTGTGTCTGTTTGTGTCCTAACTTGCCAGCCATCCTGAAGTTTCGGAGTTAGGTCGGCTACGGCTTCCCAGACCCCACATCACAAGCTCAGGGGGGAGGGGGGTGCGCGTGTGCATCCCTGGGGGGGGATAGGCAGACAATTGAAGTGAAAGAGCGATTTCGGGCAGAGAACCTTTTAAACACTCGAAAAAGGTGTTAATTAACCACCAAACAATTAGAAAATATCAAAAGCTGGACTGAACGTTTAAATAACCTTTGAGAGGAAATTCTTGCGTCCCCTAACTCCATCAGTCTGATCTTTTTTTTTTTTTGGGGGGGGGGGAGTACTGATATTTAAAAGACCTGGGTGGCTTTTAAGATTCCCCCCTTTCTTCTTCGTATTTCATGTAAGGGAAACAATGGGGAGTGCCCTCAAATTTTGCTTTAATTGTGTCTTTGTTGTTTCATTCACAGAACTTTAGGGGAGCCCCAGATATTGTCTACCATCCTCACCCCACCCACCCCTGTCTCTCACACACATAGAGGGGGTGGGGTGGGGAGATTGTCCTATTTATTACAGTTGAAACTCTGAAAGTGCAGGAAAAAAGCAACAAAGATGATTGGAGAGCTGGAGACTAAAATGTAGGATGATACCCAGTTTGCAGGAACTGGGTATGTGTAGTCTAGGGGTGAGTTGATAGGTTTGAGGGGTTATCACACAGAAAAGGGGGTAAGTCTATTCTCCAAAGCATCTGAGGGCTGGACAAGAAGTAAGGGATGAAAACATATCAAGAGATCCAACCGAGAACTAAGGAGAAGTTTTCTAACTGTGAGAACAATTAACAAGTGGGACATCTTGCCATCAGGAGTTATGGTACTACTCCATCACTGGAAGTATTTAAGATGAGACCGGATAGCCATATATCTGGAATGGTATGAGGTTTCCTGTTTGAGCAGAGAATTGGATTAGATTAGAGGACCTCAAAGGTCCCTTCCAACTCTATTATTCTGATCAGGAAAAGGAGAGTGGATGGGGATTAATAAAGAAAAGCCAGAAGCACAACATACTTAATAAGAGCCCTCTGTCTTCCCCATGGAGGGGAGATAGAGGTTTTATATAGGTAGTCCTCAACTTACAGTTGTTAAGTTAGTAACCCAGTTGTTAAGTGAATCTGGATTCTCCATTGTCTCTGCTTGTCAGAAGGTTGCAAAAGGTGATCACTTGACCCCAGGACACTGCAACTGTTATACGGTTACTTCATTATAATTTTTATTGCTAGAACACGTATGATATGCCATAGACTAAATGCAGGGGTGGGATGCAAATATTTTTACTACCAGTTCTGTAGGCGTGGCTAGGTAGGAGTGGCTAGGTGGGCATGGTCATGTGACTGGGTGGGCATGGTTCTTCTTTTTTTTTTGTCCCCCCCCCCCCCCGCCCTCGTGCTCCATTTTTTGGCCTCCTGGGCCTCAGGGAAGCCTCCTGGATGAAACAGTAAGACAGCTACGAGGATCCTGGCATAGCTGATTATCAGAACAGCTGACCATTGGGAGGAGAAAAAAAAAAAAGAAATACCATAAGGAGCGACTGGGCGGGGTGGGATGGGCGTGGGAGAATGCAGTCAGTGATGTAACACATGCACACAATGTCGCGCATGCATGGTAAGGACTGACTGGGTGGGGAGGGGTGGGCAGAGAGGGGTGGGGTCAGCCAGGGGCGCCATTTGCTGGTTCTCCAAACTGCACAGAATCATAACAACCGGCTCTACTGAACCGGTCTGAACCGGTAGAATCCACCCCGGGCTAAATGGATAATAAATTACAACAGTCGCAAACATGAGTCAAGTTGCCAAGTGTCTGAATTTTGGTTATCTGATAATGGGGATGCTGCAATGGTTTTAAGTGTGAAAAACGGTCATAGTTCACATGCTGTTGTAACTATGAATGGTCACGAAATGAACTGCTGCGGGTGGAGAATGATCTGTACAGAGAATGAGAACAGGGATTGCTGCAGAAATTGGGCAGAAATTGGGAGAAGCTACAGATTATGAATTTCTAAGCACAGTTCAGACTGTTTGACTTGAATTGTTGGGACCTCTTGGGCACAGAAAAGAAATATGCAAAAGTGGAACACAATAAACATTTTGTGTTCTCTGTGTAGCAAGAGGAGAATTAGAAAGCAAACAGAAGAATATACTCCAAACTAAGCAGAGGGAAAAGAAATGCCAGTTTGGATTAAAGCCTGTATAAATTAAAGCCTGGATTAAACCCTTTTATTTTTCCAAGGGATATGCAGTATTAGAGGGACCAAAGCAATGGGAGAATTGTTTCCAGCAGCGCTATTAGAACCAACAATTCTTAGTCCCAAATACCACCGATCCAGCTCCATTTCAATAACCTGACAGATTTTTATCCAGTCTTTCTCCTCTTTTGTTTCTATTTCTCTTGCAGCACTCAGAAAATAGAGGGGGGTTTTTTTGGAAGAAAAAGGGTGAGTTCAACTTTGGGTGTAGAGCTGAAATGGGGGGTGATGGAGAAACAGCATTCAAGACTGACAAAAGGTTATTGTTGTAGGGAAAATATTGTAGAGGGAGGAAGGTGTGTTGGATATGTTTGCCACCTTGAGTTGTTTGTAAAAATAATAAAGGTGGGATGAAAATAAGTAAATGAAAAATACCTATGAAAATGTCTTCATCCTCTTCTGGATTTTGCTTAATGTTTGCACAAGCCTGTGAATGTTATCAGAGCCTCAAAGTGTCCTAGGAATATGCAAAGGGAAATATGAGTGAACAAATAATACCGCAACTGATATTTGCTTAATTTATTTTATATATAAAGTCATCCAACATCCAATGTGTGTGGAGAAAAATACACACCTCCTTGTTTCAATCTGTTCAGTTAAAGGAGGACAGCTAGCAAGTTCTTTCTGTAACAATCAGAGCATATCTGGACCATTTCGTGAACTTTGCTGCATTCATCACAGTAAGGGTCTCACTACATAAGCTCCAGAGGCAGGTCGGACTTCGTTTAAATATAAAAGAGCCATGGTGGCGCAGTGGTTAGAATGCAGTATTGCAGGCTGACTCTGCCCATAGACAGGAGTTTGATCCCGATTGGCTGAAGTCAGCCTTCCATCTTTCCGATGTCGGTAAAATGAGGACTCCAATTGTTTGGGGCAA